CTCCGCACCTGAGAGCAAACAGGCCAGTGAATTCCAAGAGGATTGCCATCATGGTTGTGTGGTTCTCAAGCACGAACTTGATCCAGCGATGCCAGTCCCGCGCTGACAAAGCTGGCGCCTGCCCCACCTTCTTAGTCTTTGCCAGCCCCGGCTTCTTCTTTTGATTCTGGGGGCGGCCTGAGGGCCCACGCTTCACCATGGCTATAATAACCAATATGGTCAATCACTGTCACTCAAGCAGGGTGCTCCAAATTGAATTCGGCATGAATTGTCATTGTTGATGCTTTCTTTGAGTGTCCGAACCCCCTGACCATTGACTGGCCAGGCCAGGTCTGGGTTAGGTTCCAGAACCTGGGATGTTATGATAATATCGTGACTGCCTGCCAGGATTTCACAGCTGGTGACGCGCTTCGACTTCAATGACCTGACCTCAGCCTGGACCTGAGGCTGGACAATGAACAGTTTGGAAATGAGAAGCTTGAGGGTCTAAATACTAAACTCCTGTCATTGACCAATGAGTTGACTGGAGGAGCCTTGGGCTTGAAATCTGAAGCACGCTTCTATCACCGCTGATGTTTGTCTGCTTGTCAGAGCCACTGTGCCAGCCGGTGCGCGCGCATGGTTGACACACATGTCATGCAAGTCACATCTTTGAGGGACAGCAAAGTGGCAATCACCTTATGTTGCTACACGAAGTCCAGCAGTTAGAGTCTGACATCAGGTCAAGGGCAACCTAACTAAAACTGGGCAACGGCATTCACATCCACACAGCAAGTGAACTGGCGCCTGCCATGTCAACCTACAACAACTGCACATTCACGTTCGTGCGCGGCGAGGGCGGGAAGAGGAAGAACCCCTCGACAGTGAGGCGTGATTCTTGGCAATTCCAGTAATATTTGCATGATTTTCATGATTCTGCCCTTTTTATTATTATCGATGCGATTTCTTTTTGCTTTGACTAGTAAATGGTAGTGCCCAAAGACTACATTTTAACATTTTAACTTTTTCCCTGATTTGGTCCAGCCTTGAATTAGTCATGGCCCCCAGCCTTCTAGTATAAAATAGTCATGGCTCCACCCTTTGGGCAAAAATGAGTAAGCGCAGTTAGTTACTTTTTGAAGCCTTGCGCAAACAATTCAAGGACATTGGTCGCGCGCTCAAGTTCGCAGCCACTGGGCGCTGGGGCGGCGACAAGAAAGACCAGGACGAGTCCGAGGCGGTGGGCCAGCTTCACAAGATTCAGAAGCAGGGGCATGTCCAGGTGGGGGCGCCTCAGTGCGTGGCTGCGAACGAGACGGTGGAGGAGTCCGCGTGGTCGGAGGCTCCGTTCATTTAAAATGCCCAAAGCCGACCTTATATAAATTGTTAACCTTTACTATTTTTCATTTTTGTCACGGTTCCAAAATTAGCCTTTACTGCTAATCCTGGCTAAGTAAAGGTGGGCCTGGAGTCGTCGCCGGACCAGCCAATGCCAGAGCCAGTTCAGCCACTGGTGCCAGAGCCAGTTCAGCCACTGGTGCCAGAGCCAGTTCAGCCACCGGACCAGCTGGACCAGCAGCCTGTCGTCAACCCGAAGCCCCCAGCCTGTTTCGACCTGGAGGTGGAGGTTTCCAAATTGAGCCGGCTGGTGTGGAATGCGGTGAGCCACTCCAACCTGGTGGTCGGCGGGGTAGTCGAGTATGACAAGCTCGTGCGCATTAGCGGCCTGGGCGCGGTCATGAACTGCCAGGAGATCAGGATCTTCAGAGATTTAAGTTATATGTCCGGCTGATTTCTTATTCTGTGGCGAGTTGTTTGAGTTGCGCTCGCAACCTGAAATGTAACATGTGCTAGCTTGCAATTAGTTATCAGGTAGTTTTCATTTATGTTGATGATGATGCTTGCCCAAATTATTCATTTTAAGGAGAGCCACAAAGAACCGCGACAGTGCGCCTAGCTGCTTCACTGGGTTGATCCACCTGGCGAACCCAAACTTCCTGATGCTGAATGGCGTCTTCAAGCGGAGGCGGAGCCTTACTTGCTTATTTCTGTGTACAGCTTTTATTTATTTATTTATTTATTTATTTATTGTGAGTTTTGTTCAATTACAGTTTGTGTCAGTTGGGGTTTGATTCTGATTCATTGTGCTGCTGCAGGTTTGAGGACTTGATGGAGGAGATCAGTCCCTGCATGGCAAAAGAAACCCAAAAGATTGTGTATGTGCACTGCAATGGAGGGGTTCACCGTGGACCGGCGCCCAAGCGTACGGTTAGTCCATTGGTAGTGTGTTGCTTGTAGTGTTGTTCGTCTTAGTTCTTTTACGCATTCACTTTACAGGTTTTAAGTCATGAGGAGTAGCAAGTTAATTCCCCATGATTCTGATTCTGACTCAATAAACTGCCGCAGGCAATGGCAGCTGCCATCATGATCTACTTCCACCGCCTGAGCCTTTTGAACGCGAAGAGGCACTTCAACGTGGTGGATGCCTTCGACGAGTTCCTGTCGGCGGTGGATGCAGCTTATTTCTGTTTAGCCTGAGGTGTGTCTTGATTAAATCAATTAGTCCTAACCTTGTATTTCTAAATAAGGCTAGTCTCCAATCATTCATTCTAGTTTGGTCTTGACAATGATGCAAGCAAGGCCCTGCCAATGATCGAGAAGCCCGAGTCCATCCAGCCGGAGCCCATCCTTTGCGATTGTGCGTGGGGCTGTGACCTGACAGTAGCCTGCGTGTCCCATGACTGATTCCATCGCTGTTTTAGTGAATCATTAGGTCTCAGAGGGTCCCATCAAGAGCGATGAGATTAACTCAGTCTGAAATCGTCCTGGGGCATCTTGAAAGCGCACAGCCGCTGTAGGGATCTCGGCCTGTCAGGTCGACCCTTCCAGAGGTTACTAAGTCGGTAATCGCCTTCGGGCCTTCTGAATTGAATGTGCTGTTGGCCTTGCCGATGAGCGCCCCCTTGCCTATGTTAACAATTGAAACGCAAGTGCAGTTTGGCAAATCACGACAAGGTGCGCGACAGCATGCGGCTGATTTGATTTGAGGTGGGCCTTTGTCTGACCCTTCTAGGACGAGGTCACTGATGTGGCTTTCTTTGTCTGCGTTGAGACATGCCCGATGAAATGAGTCCCCGCCCAAAATTCCCCGCACATCATGACATTTGAAACGAAGGACGAGAAAACGAGAACCGGGCATGAATCATCGAAGCAAGTCTCTAGACAATTAGAGCAGGTCGGCCAGTGTGAAAAGTTTGGAGCCTTCGAGTCGCTTCCTTGTCCGGCTATGAGTGCCAAGCTTCATTGACATGTGCTGTGACATTAATTGTCCCTCCATGCCCAGGCCGGACCGCGAGCGCAGTGCGAGCCCCAGCTGTGCTAGCCAATTGTCAGAGCTAGCAAGGCTCATTTGCAAAGCCCAACTCATTGAGTGTTTTCCTGGCGCTCCATGACATAGATCTTTATGGCCTGGTCAAGACAAGTTGCGAACCGGATTTACTATTCAGCTGTTAATTAGAAAGATATGTTGGGTTAGCAATATATCGCTGAACCAATGAGTGTTGAGTTGAATGCTGCTGATTCTGATGCAAGTGTTCAAACTCTTTGCTTGAATGTGGCAAGGGCTAGTCCTGATGGGAATGGTTGAGGTCAGGGTCATAAACTTGCCCTGCATTGACACTGAGATTGACGGGTAAATGTTGTGACGCAGCTGCTTGCTCGATTTACACAGTGCTTTGCCCAGGTGCTGGGCACCCACTGGGGGCACCCCGTGCCAAGGAGGCGTGCGCCGCTTGGTTGTTGTCGTTCGCGCTCGTTTTTCTTCTGGGTGAGGAGTGACTGTGTGCCACTGCGCGTAGGTGTTTTTTATTTTTTTTACTTTTTTTTTCAGACTGTTCCATTGGAAATTGGCTGCTGGGGGTTGCAACGGCTGGAGAGTAAGAGGGCGTCATTGTGTTTGCGCTTCCGTGGCAGAGCCGCAATTGGGCCTTTCAGATTTGGCAGTGAATGTGTGTCATCGATGGCGTCCGTTTTTTTCGAAAGAGTGAGTGTGTCAGCTTGTGTTTCTTGAGTGCCAGTGTCCTGTTGTCTACCCCAGACTGTTCCATAAGAAATTGCCAGCGTTGGAGATTGCCTCAAAGGCTGGATAGAAGGCTTCAGACGAGACGCAATTGGGCCTCTCAGACCGCAAACGTTCCTTTCTTTTTTCGAGAAGGATTGATGAGTGTGGTAGGCGGCTAGCTGTGTTTCTTGAGCGCCAGTGTCCTTCATTCAGACTGTTCCATAGTGAATAGGAAATTCGCAGTTGGGGATTGCCCCAAAGGCTGGATACAGTAGTAAGAGGGCTTCATTTTGTTTTCTCTCACGTGCTGGGCGGCCTTTCAGATTTGGCAGTGATTGTTTGTCATCGATAGCGTTCCGCTTTTCGAAGGAGCAGTGTAGGCTTGTGTTTCTTGAGCGCCAGTGTCCTTCTGTCTATCCCAGACTGTTCCATAGGAAATTGACAGCGTTGGAGATTGCCCCATTAAAGGCTGGATAGAGGGCTTCAGATGAGCCGCAATTGGGCCTCTCAGACAGTGATTGTTTGTCAGTGATTGTTTGTCATCGTTGGCGTTCCGTTTGTGTTTCGAGAAGGAATAGGCTAGCTGTGTTTCTTGAACGCCAGTGTCCTTCTGTCTACTTCAGACTGTTCCATAGGAAATTGACAGTGGATAGAGGGACGAGGGCTTCATTTTGTTTGCAGTGACAAGGCATGAGCTGTAATTTGGCCATTCAGACAGACTTGAAGTTGGCAGTGATTGTTTGTCATCGTGGCGTTCCGTTGTTTCTTCTTTTTCTCTTTTCCCTGTTTTTTTCTCGGAGCATTAAGTTGAGTGTGTAGGCGTTTATCTTCAGCGGCATTGTCATTCTGTTTTCCCCAGATTGCTTCATAGGAACTTGACAGTGTTGAAGTTTGCCCAGAGTGCTTTGTTTTCCACCCAAGCCTGCCAAAATTGCATTTTCCCACCTATCCTGGCTGTTTAAGTGGTCAAACTGAAAGTGTGCCACCCAGCCCCTTTTGTTTGATGACGGTTGCAACACCAACTGTGTATGATTTTGAGTTCCCGGGATGTTCCCGGCGCCCAAACTCAATTTGCATGCAGCTGTCCATCTGGCGCCAGCCATCGAAGCCATTTTGGCAACTTTGGCAGGATGACACACCAGCTAGTTCCTCTGACAGGCAATGATCCGCGCCTGGACCAGCATCTAAAGGCATGTACCCTTAATAAAAGCTGCTGCCCTGGATGCCGTTTGGCGAGTCACTACAAGGTGTGGGTGCGTCACTTGACCTCGCAGATCCCATGGCTTGGCTTTTGCGATCGGCCCAATGATGAAGGAATGGGCGTGGGCTGTTTGCTTTGCTCAGCTGCTGGCTGCCCAACAGCATTCGGCAGGTTTGAGGTGGCGAGCGCAAGTTTGAAAATTTCTGCCTTGCAAAAACACGAGCAGTCTGATCCTCATGTGCGAGCTTGGCGCATTGCTGCAGAACAGACGGGCCTCCCTGCCCCAGCAATTCCAGAGAAGGTGAACGCCCCGAGCACTGAGGTGTTTCAGGCTGCCTTGCAAAGAAGGCTGGAAGGTTTGGCCTGCGAGGCTGGGTTGCCTGCTTTCAACATCGGCCCGGAGAAGCTTCAGAAGCTCACCTACTGTTTGGCTGAGGCTAAGCGCATGATGCTGCGAGTTTGGCTGAAGGACAATGCCGTTACAATCGCTTTGCAGCAGGATGAGAGACATCAGCGCTTATTGCTCAGATTTACAGCGGCTTCCGGCTCGTTGGAGCGAAGGTCAGGCGTGATTGGTCTTGCAAAGAATTTTGGCAGTGGAGCGGGCGGGATCCGGAATGCGACGGAGTCAATTGTGCGAAACTTCTGCTCGCCTGGAAGCATGACTCCGCCAGGCCAATCAGCTTGCGATGCAGTCTTGAATCAGGAGCTTTTTGACTGTGTTCGGGCGAAGATCGAAATCTTCGTGGCAGACGCAGCTGGAGACGAGCAAAAAGCCGGTGATCTCATGCGGAGCTCGATGTTTCCGAACATTCGTTTGGGTCTCCGCGATGCTGCTCACGCGACTCGGCGAGTGATCAAGCGACCGTTTGAAGCTGACCCGACTCTGCGGGACATCATGCAGTCATTGTTTTTTGGCAAACACAGCATTGTGGCAGCCTTGGAGCACAGCCATCTCTTGAAGAATCGCTTCGAGCACCACGTGAAAACCACCACCTCCGTCGTGCAATCCAGTGTCCGATCACTGTCACTTGCCAAGCAGCGGTTTGACTCAACTCAGACCCCGCTCGGGCGCTTCGTCCTTTTTTTCGAACCTTTTCTTGCGACAGTCATCGAGATAAGCAGGGAAAGGCGAGGGGAGGACATCAACGGTGACAGGGCCGCCGCGTTCCTTGCCTATATCAACGAAGAAGTGTTGGTGCAAGTTGCAATGATTGCTGATGCCGGAGATGAAGGTGGCCAACTGTGTCGCGCATTCGACACTGAGCTCCCGGCTTCTGAGGAACTGTCATCCACGGTTAGCATTTTTTTGCAAAAAATCAGCTGCTTGTTCAACGAGTTTGAGCCGGTGTGCCTGGAAACTGGGTACACCAAGTTGATGCTGCTGCTGCTAGAGAAGCGCCAGTTCATTATCCCGACTCTGGACGGCAAGTCAGTCCGCACTATCGGCGGGCCTGGCAGCATCACTGTTGAAATGCTGAGTAGCTGCTTGCGCCGGATGCGAACCTGGGCAGTGCTTGCAAATGAGGTCATCAAGCACGAGCTCCCCGACTGGGATTTGGTAAGCAGCTTTGCCATTTTTGATTGCAAGCGCGCTGACGGCTTGACCACAGCCAGCTCCACCCGGGACACACACATTCGGAGGTTGGCCGCGTTTTTCAACCTGGACGAGTCTTTACTTCGCTCTCAGTATTTTGACCTGTCACCGATTGCAAAAGTGCGTTGCAAGAACTTGGACTGCAGCAGCCAAGTAGCCTGGCAATCGGTCATCGCGGAAGTTATGTCATCTCAGAGGCGACGTGACCGACATCCTTGCGATGTATTGCAGTGCGTTCTTGCACGATGGTGTGGGTGGAGCCCTTCAACCAGCGCAGTTGAACAAAGCTTTGGCCATGGCACGCATTTTGCGACGGCGCGTCAGGGGTGCGCCTCGGAGGCCAGCGAGAACAACGACTTTACGCTGCTCCTGGACCATCACTCACAGGACGAGCAGATTCTAATAAGGCTTTCCCAGCAGATTTGGCATCAGCAATTTGGACTTCCACGGCATCGCGATAGACGTCGTCTTGATTTGGGCGTGAAGCGCCAACTTCAGTCCAACACTGTTTCAGAGGCTTCATGGCTTCGTAGCCGGCGAAGTGCTGTCGCTGCAGCGGTGGCGAAGAGGCAACGTGTCGTAGCCACTGCTGGTACTACTGTTACAGACGACGATGACTCTGTATTGGACCATCCGAGTCATTTGAAGGAAAAGGCGTTCCAGAATCAGAGCGCGCTCCGAAGGAAGGTCGTGGCACTCAGAGATGGTCACTTGCTGCCAGAAGAAGCCGATGATGAGTTGGAGTCCTTTCTCCAGTTGCTGGCGGATAAGAAGTCAGAACTTTTGAGGCGGCCTGCAATCACAGCAAAGGAGAGAAAGAAGGACTTAATTTACAGTGGATTTCAGCAGCCTGGCTTCATTCAGGGAACTGGTGAAGTCTTGAAAACCTGTGTATCCCCTGGTGTGCCGCATGGCCCTGCGAGAGCTTTGGGCAAACTTGCGTTGCAACATGATCCTTGCGAGGCCCGGGTGATTGTAGCTCACGACATGCATTCTTTACCAGAGAAGTTCCACTGGTGCGCAGTTCTTCGCGGCAGCTTCATCGTGGACACAGCCATGCTCAGTGGGCAGAAGGGCTTGTGTGTGAAGATGAAGGGGATCGCGCACTTGAAGCGCTTTGTGTGGGCAAGCATGGAGTTCAAGCAGGACCGGATCTTGCTTGAGTTTTTGAGGCATGAATCAATTATTATTCCTGTGGATCAGTTTGACTCTTGCTGTGTCGGTTCCGACTTCAATGAGTGACAATAATAATTATGTCTATGCAATTTAATTGTCCGGGTCCGGAAAATCACAGCTAGACAAGCAAGAGCTAACAGTGACAGGTTCACCTGAAAGACAAGTTTTCCACAATTTGTTTCTTGACTCCTGTTGACGACAGTGGTGGAAAGAGTTGTGTTTGCCAGGGGAATTCGGAGTTCTATGCCATCATGTGCCGGCTGGTGGATGACTGCATGGGCAAACGCCCTATGTGGCAGTGGCTGGACACAGTTGATGAGTTCCTGACGGGTAAGGGAGTGGGTTACATTGCGCTTGTGACACACGAGCAGCAGAAGTTGGAGGCAAGTTTCCAAGAACACTGGAAACGTTTTACTCGTTGCTTTGTGTTTAGTTGGCCGTTGAGTCTATTGTGTTTTGATTTCCAGAGTAAGTTGTGCCAGTGTCCCATATTATTGTCATTGCATGTGTTGCCAAACTTATGTTAAAGAACCCTTACTCGCCGAAAATTGAATTCCCTGGCAAGGTGCTGCAAGTGGCCATGAAGGAGCGCCGCAGCTGTGTCTTCACGAAAGATGATTTTTTGAGTCACGCATCTCAAGTGGATTTTCAGCAGTCATGTCTTGCCTGATAAAATCAGCCGGCGTGCTGTAACAGCGCGGGTCAGCCTCAGGATCACACATCGATTGACGTGTCATGATCAACAGGTTAACAGTCAGGGATGGTCATCCAACTGGATCCTTCATACTCATCATTCATACTGATTCAATTATCGAGGGACAAATTCATGCATAGGCCAAATACTTTGACCTGGCGATGTGTGTGTGGCTGTGGGGTTGTTTCTGAAGCCTGGGCAAATTACTGCCGTCAGGAATCAGACTTAGGGGAATTTCATTCTGAGCCGGCGTCCGCCGTTGGCACAAAACACAGCTGGGCCTGCCACGTTTTAGTCAGTCCGCTGTGTCTGTGTTAAGCAAGACTGCTCCCTTTACCCACTGCCAAAGACAACCAACGATTCCCACAGTCAGAGTCAGAGTCAGTCAGCTCTTTTGCCCGCCAGGCTTACCATCATCATCATGCGCTTCTACAGGCAGCGGCGGGGACGCTTGGTTGACCAGACCTCGTCAGAGCACTTTGAACCTCATGTTGACAGGGATTTGATCTGTATGTGTCAATCATCGTTTAAAGTTGTAGCTCGGGCCGGGCCCGCAAATCCAGCGTTGGTATTATTGGCAATGTAGGCCCGAAATGCAAGCAAAAGCTGGTTTTGGGGCTGAAAAGGGAGATTGCAGTCAGAGGGCTTGAAGTTGACCTGGCCAGTTGAGAGAGTCGCGAGCGCTTGTGACTCAGCAGCAGTTGTTATTGTTGATGGCCGCTCAACAAATGCTTACAGTCTTTAATAACTTGGGGCCAGTATTAAATCTTGGCGGTTGTAATTTGTGAGCACTTTCAAAAAGCTTGTTTGTTGCCCGCCCTCTCGACAGTAGGCTATGGGCTCTCAACAGTCGTGAGCGCTTGTGAATGGGCTCTCAACAGTCGTGAGCGCTTGTGAGTCCAGGAGCGGGGTCTCTCAACAGTCGTGAGCGCTTGTGAATTGGCTCTCAACTGTCGTCAACAGTCGCGAAATTGTCAATTTTCAATGGGCGACTCAACAGTCGTGAGCGCTTGTGAGTCCAGGAGCAGGGTCTCTCAACAGTCGTGAGCGCTTGTGAATTGGCTCTCAACTGCCGTCAACAGTCGCTCTCAACAGTCGTGAGCGCTTGTGAGTCCAGGAGCAGGCAGGGTCTCTCAACAGTCGTGAGCGCTTGTGAATTGGCTCTCAACTGTCGTCAACAGTCGCGAAATTTGTCAATTTTCACTGGGCTCTCAACAGTCGTGAGCGCTTGTGAGTCCAGTGACGGGGTCTCTCAACAGTCGTGAGCGCTTGTGAATTGGCTCTCAACTGTCATGAACTTGTGAGTGGGCTCGCTGCGAGCTAACTCTCAAAACTTCAATACTCGTGAGCGCTCAAGCTGTTGCTCAAGCTGTTGCTCAAGCTGTTGAGAGGGGTGGGTAAATTTTACCCACCCATCTCAGAGGTCGTGAGCGCTTGTGAGTGTTGAGAGCTCTCATATTTTAATAGCGCTTGTGAGATTTGGATAGCTGCCAAAATTACTCGAGAAATTTTGCCCGGGCTGTTGAGAGGGGTGGGTCAATTTAACCCACTCCTCTCATTAGGGGGGAGCGCTTGTGACTGCTGAGAACCCACCCCCCCCCTTACGAGCACAAACGCGTGTGCGCCCCATAACGGAAGGCTGCCTTCAGGGCCGCGCAAGTTGAGGGGTGGGTTCTCAGCAGTCACAAGCGCTCCCCCCTAATGAGAGGAGTGGGTTAAATTGACCCACCCCTCTCAACAGCCCGGGCAAAATTTCTCTAGTAATTTTGGCAGCTATCCAAATCTCACAAGCGCTATTATATGAGAGCTCTCAACACTCACAAGCGCTCACGACCTCTGAGAGGGGTGGGTAAAATTTACCCACCCCTCTCAACAGCTTGAGCGATCACAAGTTTTGAAGCTTTGAGAGTTAGCTCGCAGCGAGCCCACTCACAAGTTCATGACTGACAGTTGAGAGCCAATTCACAAGCGCTCACGACTGTTGAGAGACCCCGTCACTGGACTCACAAGCGCTCACGACTGTTGAGAGCCCAGTGAAAATTGACAATTTCGCGACAGTTGACGACAGTTGAGAGCCAATTCACAAGCGCTCACGACTGTTGAGAGGCCCTGCTCCTGGACTCACAAGCGCTCACGACTGTTGAGAGCGACTGTTGACGGCAGTTGAGAGCCAATTCACAAGCGCTCACGACTGTTGAGAGACCCTGCTCCTGGACTCACAAGCGCTCACGACTGTTGAGAGCCCATTGAAAATTGACAATTTCGCGACTGTTGACGACAGTTGAGAGCCAATTCACAAGCGCTCACGACTGTTGAGAGACCCCGCTCCTGGACTCACAAGCGCTCACGACTGTTGAGAGCCCATTGACAATTTCGCGACTGTTGACGACAGTTACTGCTACAACTTGGTGAGAGCCAATTCATTTCACGACTGTTGACGAGAGAGCCAATTCACAAGCGCTCACGACTGTTGAGAGCCCATTGACAATTTCGCGACTGTTGACGAAGTTGAGAGCCAATTCATTTCACGACTGTTGACAAGAGAGCCAATTCACAAGCGCTCACGACTGTTGAGAGACCCCACTCCTGGACTCAAAAGCGCTCACGACAGTTGATGAGAGTGCCCTGCCACAACTGTCAAGCAACGAGTGCTCCTCGCGAAGCCTGCGCTTACAATGTTTATCCAAGTCGCCGCACGGACTGCTTATCAACTTGAGAGAAGTCTTGTAGTGATTCTGTTGTTTACTTGACTGACGTTGGCTAAACACTGCTTTTGAAAGTCATTGGGTGGCCTGAATCTTTCTTGACTGACGCAACTGGCCGATTGCGATATTTAGCTGTTTTTTGGTTGTTACTCATACTTAAAACTGGTGTTTGAATGCCGGCCCGTCAGGTTGAGACTCATCGCATCTGAGCTTCCAGTGCGTCCAGGACCTGCAGTAGTGTCAGTGATGCAGACAGAGCGAGAGAGAGAGATCAGTGAGGAAAACATGTTGAGTGGATGTTGAGCTTTCACATCCGAAACTGAACTTGTTTTTGCCATGTAAACTGTCTGTACGCGCTTTCGATTTGAGTGCTTGCAATGACGATTGAGCCTCTCAATGTTTGTCGCGCTCGGTTGAAGAAACTGATGTTGAAGTGTTGCCAGCTTGACCAACAAGGTTTTTTTTATGGTGAGCCATAATTTGTGGTTTTCGTGGAGAGGCGAGAGGAGTCGCAAACAAGAATCAAGAAGGAACAATTCGCTTCATCAGGCGGCTCGAGCTGTGTGATGATCATACATGACAAGACTTGGACAGGGGTTATACATTATTATTCTGAATCGAGCCTTGCGAACATGCCGCGCCGCCGCGGGGTGAAGCGGCGAAACGTGTGCATGGATCAGTGCGAGCTGTCCGAAGGCCTGACTTGCAGAAACGATCCAGCGCCGGCTGAAGCCAGCGACGCGCCTTGGTGTGAGTTCAGTATTCCTTTCAACACAGCTGAGTTAATTTACATCCTGTGACACCAAACAATAACATGTGAGTCATTGGCCAAGTCAATGCAGGGGCTCACAAACGCTGAAACGATGTGACACAAGGTCATTCGAGTGGCTTCTGATTTTTCTGGTCTTGGCAGTTTCGAGCTGGCGGCCAAGCGGGTTGCGCAGGTTTTGGGCTGCAGAGCGGAGGTGATGTTTTCGAGCGACTCGGACAAGCACTGTCAGGCCATGCTTCTGCACAACCACTGCCCATTCAAATTCTATCCGGATGTTGCGTCACGCAATCACCAGAATGCCTTTGAGTGCGAATGGTATGGCGCAGGCTTTCCTTGCCAGCCGTTTTCAACGGCTGGGCTGGGCATGGGAGTTCATGACATGAAGGAGCGTGGGCTGCTACTTGCGCACTCACTGTCATATGTGGTTTCAAAGAGGCCAAAACTTGTGGTGTACGAAAACGTTCCTGGCCTACTTCGCAAGCGGCATCAAGCCTTGATGGCTTGGCTGCTCCTAACTTTGGAGGAGGCTGAGTACAGGTGGTGGTACACTGTGTTGAACACAAACAGCTTCGCGATACCACACAACAGGCGACGTTTGTACATAGTCGGGATACAAACTCGACACCTCAGGCGGGCATTTACATGGCCAACTCCTCTTCCCCGCGCGCCTGCCATTGACGAGTTTCTTGAGCCCAATGTCACAGGTAAACCTCGCCGAAGCTTGACGTTTTTTTTTTTTTGGGAGGATTCATTGATGTGCTATTCAATAATTCCAAGCCACAGTCATTCTGCCATCAGCTAGATTGTCTGTGTGTGCGACAGCGAAGCTTTGTCAGGATGGCAGCATCCTCCTCTGCTCCTGAGAGGGCACGACTTTTGGCAAGCCATGCGCTTGAGAAGATCCAGGAGAAGCTCATTGACCCCGACCAGTCGTGCTGGACCATTGACTGCTGTTCCACGGTGAAGTTTCTTTCCTACCGGAGGGACGAACTGATGTGCATGTTACACGGTCGCTCTTCTCGTCAGAGCTACTGGTGCAGCTCTTTGGGCCGCTTTCTGACCACTGCAGACCGAATGAAACTACAGGGGTACACATGCAAGAAGCAGCCTGTGCCAGACAGCGCCATGAATAAGATGCTAGGAAACGGCATGAGTGTAAATATTTTAGAGAGGGTTTTGCTGCAAGCTGCTTGGGCCATGGGGGTTGGCCATTAAATCAGTTTGGCGATGACGCTAGAGGCTCATCCAGCTGCAGCTGGTCGCACCCATGAAGACTCAGAAACTGTTACAGTGTTTGCTGATTTGTTGTTCAGTCAGCCAGCTGGAGAGCAACCGTGAGTGTGGAAAAGTTCGCGAGTGTCAGTCAGTTTCTTTATATTATATACACGTTGACTGTCGTTTGTGGAGTTCAATAGAAGCTTCCCTGCGGCCCGCGTTTGACGCGCAAGGACATCATTGACGTGGTGAATGACATGAGCCTGGCGCTTGGTGCGCTCGCAAACCATATTGTGCCGTTAGCCTTTGTGTTTGATGCAGGACTCATGTCATGACATTGAATCATCGGAATCATGTTGAGTCACATGCTGATTGGGCCTCATCTCAGTCTCATTGAGCATTGAGTCACATGCTGATTCGGCGTCGTTGTCATGGAGCATGTTGAGTCACATGCTGATTATCGGGCCTCAATGTCCTGACGTTGCAGCATGTTGAGTCAGATCCTGATTGTTGCCACTGCGTCGTGACCGGTTGCTGAATGCATTTGAAAGTTTTGAGAGGCTCTGGCAGCCCACCCGGCCCGGCACCTGCGGCATTTTGCACAGCAATGGCACCCAAGAAGGCGGCAAAGGTGAAGGCGAAGTCGAAGGCGGCGGCAGCGCAATCGGCTGCGGATGGTGATGACATCATGGCCGCCCCGGATGTGAATCACCAGTGCAACGTGGACTACCTTGCCAAGGTGCAGGATGCATGGGCCACGATCAACGGCCACCCGCTGTTTGAGAACCTCTCCTGCCGGGATCCCCTCCAGATCGAGGCATTCGGGAGCCAAACTTTCAATTTTTGCGCATTTATTTTTGATTTCTTGTCGTTGAACCGCATCTGCAAAATGTTTGTGCGATGTTTCGTTGACCTCTGATTGTGGCAGGAGGGCGCTGGCAGCAACAAGTCCGGCTTTCAGGCGGTGTTCCGGATGGAGGAGTTTAAGATGGCCATGGAGCAGACCAAGCAGTATGCCTGTGGGGGCAATCTCGCGTGGCTGAAGGTGACGTACAGTACGTCACCTGGTGTCCCATACAATGAGAGGGCTGTGCAGAAGCTGAAGGACTTCTACTTCGGGGGGAAGGTGGCCCCTCTGAGGTACCCCGAGAACCTGATCATCGCCGTGAGCTCCGATCAGGTCAAGGAGGGGAACATGATGACCCAGCGAGGTGCGATGGAGTCTGTTTCGCCGCCGGAGCTGCCCCTCAATTCAATTACCCGAATTCGGCTTGTGTATTTAAATTGTGTGTGTGTGTGTGATTTTTGCACATCATCAGTCAGAAGAATCAGACGAGGTTTTTAATACTGCTCTGGTGATGAACTTGACGACTTGTCTGTCTGAAATTCTGAGGCTCCATGCCTTCATCCTGCGCGTGGCTGAGCTGATCGATGCGAAGGTGTCTGATTCGGCGCTCGAGTCATGGCTGCGGGTCATCTTGACGACGATGTGCGTCTTCGAGATCCTGGAGACAGCTGATGCCCGGTCGGCTCGGTCGGACACCTTGCGGGAGGTAGCCGTGACCAACTTCAACGGCATCGCCTGGACCGTCATCCAGAAGGTGTACCACCTGGGCCTGTTCAAGGCGCGCAAGGAGCGTGACATGGGCAGTCTGGCTGCAGAAAAGGTTGCGGCGCTTTACAATGAGGACAGGCAGATGACACAAACAGAATGTTATTTTGACTTTTGAATCAAATTTTCAAAGCAACTTTGATTCATCAGCGTGCAATGAAACTAAGCTGATTGACTAATCATTGGCGAGTGCAGCCCTTTGATTCATCAGCGTGCAATGAAACTAAGCTGATTGACTAATCATTGACGAGTGCAGCCCTGGCCCCAGGAGCGGTCCATGGCGGAGGATTCGGAGGCGGTCACAGACTCGTTTGTGGACCAGGCCATGACGGTTTGGAACCGGATGTTGAGCCACAAGGAGATCGCGGAGGTCGTCTTGAGCATGGACTTCGAGTTTCTCAGTTGTTCAAACCCGACCTTTTAATGATCATTTTTGGTTTTGCTTTTAAATGGGCCATAAATTTAGTCAATGGGCGAACCTTTTATTTCGGAATTCTTTGGGCCGTGAGGTTTGGGCATGATGCCCCCCTGGCTGGCATCGTCAACCTGCAGACCGTCATCAGCAAGACACGCACTCAGGAGCCGGGTATTGACACTCATTGACATATTGAATTGGGGGGTTGCGAGTGTTGAGGTAAGGTGAGGCGAGGGAGTCATTGTGACTGTGACACGACTGAGAGAGCGAGTGAGACCAGCTCAAGCCGTTTTTTTTGACCATTACAGTCATCAGTCAGTCGGGCCGTTAAATTTAGGATTACGGACCAGCAACTGACGATGAATGAGAACACCCTACTAAGATTTGACATGAAACGAGTTAGCGCAATTGCTCGGAGGAGTGCCTCTTGTGGACCTTGCGGTGCATCCAGCAGTACTTCGCCTGCGGGTACTTGGTCAGGGGCGAAGCAACCACACGCGGATTGGCTGGCCACGGGAGCAATCCTGGCTGGGTTGCATTTCTGATGTACAAGCAGGAGCTGCTGGATTACTTGACCAGTGGCTTCATCGACGGGGTCATCGCCGACGCCGAGAAGAGGAAGGCGATCAGACAGGTGCTCAGCAACCACCAGACGCATCACACGCTGTTCGGGTGGCCCAAGGAGCTTTTCACTGTCCAAACATCATGACCGTTACTGTTTTACATGAGTGTTGATGTTTGGTCAAAACAATTTGTTCAAAATAGGTGTTTGCATTTTATGAAGTTCAAGTGGAGCTTTGCCAACTGAAGGACAAAGAACAGCCAGACCTGACGTGGCACTCCAGTTGGCTGGAGTCAGAGCGCTCTGCGCTCTTGCTGGCTGAGGCTACTGCGCTTCTGAAACAACATGTCGTTGCCTTGCCAACACATCATCAGAATCAGATCAAGCGTTTTCACGGTGTTTGCACACTTTCGGCTTGCGTGGTCTGAATCGTAAATTTGCAGGCTTGCGTCTACACCAACGCCCATGACCATGTCCTGAAGCAGGCGCTGAAGAACCGCAAGACGCCGGCTGAGGCGCTAGCCTACGGTGGCCTTGAGGAGCTGGTGAAGGACGCGTTGAGTTCGCGGATATTTTGTGTCCATCAGACTTTGCTTATTTCCCAGACAGCGCAATAATATAATAATCCCACCAATCAACGTATTTGGTTAGTGGTTTATGTGTATGTAATTTTGATATGCGCTGCTTTGGTCAGGAGATCACCAAGCACGCTGACAAGGAGAAGGAGGCTTCCGGCCAAGTCGTTCTGCCAGGCACCGCTCCAGCCCCATCCAGCGATGCAACAGAAGTTCCTGAGCACATCCTGGCAACGTGCCTGGAGGAGCGACATGACGTGAGTTGAAGAGAGTTGGAGAACCGTGTTTTGAAGGCGCCTGTTTTAACTGTGCGTGGATCTTGAAGTCTAACGGCAATACTAAAATACTGTTCAACGATTTGCCAGGACCTGGAAACCGCCGAGGAGAAGATCTTGAAGTACAAGGCCATGGCGATGAACCTCGTCAAGCAACGGGTCAAGTTGCTGGTGGAGCCCTCGTCCGAGAATGCCTTTGCCACGATGATCGCAGATGCGGAAGCTTGGTCAACAATTAGACAAGTTTTACTTTTTGGCCTGAACTTGGCAACAGTGATGAACAGAAAAATCATTTAATTCCTTGGTCCTCAGGGTGAAACGCTGACCAAGGAAATCGGAAAAGTCAGAGGTTCAGAATCACGCCGTGTGATCGCCATCTACGACAACAAACGATGTGGGGAGGCGATGACGGCGCCGCATCTCAGAGTGCCGCCGTTTAGAAAAGAGCACGCGCAGAAGGTCGTCCGGGCATTCATTCAGTGCAGGGGGTCCGCCGAGCTCCATGACGGGGACCTGATGTTTTTCTTTGATGCTGGCCGCCATGGTGCCTTGTCTGTGTTTTTACATCAACACACGCTTGACCATCAACACGGCCTCAAATGTTTGTTCAGTCATTTAACTTAGATCCTTTGCTGCTGATCTGATCGTCCGACGCAAATCCTTGCCAAATCCAATGTGTGGATTCAGGAATTTTTGCGATTGTTAAAAAGTTTTGATTGTTGGCAGGCAGTGAGATGTAACTCTTTGATGAACATTGTTACTACGGAGAGTTTGCAGGCAATGACCGGGCGTTCTCGGGGCTGTTTGCCACGGAAGATAACAAGCGCATCGCCCACGAGAAGAGGGTCTTCTTCCTCTCCTCCTCAGAGGAGTCCATGCGATTGCGTCGCACGCTGGTACGTGGCCTGGGCAGCCTGCATCAGGCCAGGCTTATGGGCCAAAAGCACGACGATACAGATGCCGGCGAGCGAATTTTGTAAATTGCACTTAAAGTCTTCAATGTTGAACAGTTCATCGTACGAGCACGTTGTGTCTGACTGAGTCACAGGTGGAGATGCTGCATGTCTTCAGCCGCTCCACGTTGGACATGCCTGAGGTGAAGCATCCGATCTACCCAGGCAGCAGCTCTGGTGATTTGATTGGCCCAATCAATCTCGAGCGCTTCCAGGACCGCAGCTGGCAGGTTACTGAGGAGGAGAAGCGCAAGATGCTCGGGGGCTTCAGGATCGCGGTGGGTGGGCTCTCAGGGGATGCGTCGGAGAGCACGAAGCGCACGCAGTTCAAGAGGAGTGAGCTGAAGCGGAAACCTGCTGGCACTGCCGACGACAACGTGCTGTACGAGCCCTTCTGCTACCACGGCCTGCCCCCTGAGTATTACGTGGACTCATTGCCTGACTTAGTTGACTTAAACTTCGGTGCCTTAATTTTGTGCCTTTTTGAGTTCCTGCGTTTTCCTTTCAGTCTGCCAAAAAGTTATTTTAGCAGAGGATTTAAGTCTGGTCAAGGACATGTTGGCTGTTTGGAGCCCGCGAGCTATCATTGATTTCACCGCCTCGGATATGACTGCTGCCTTCGTGTGCCTTGAGGCGAGAGTCCCTTATCTGGGGATCACCTTCACCGAGCAGCACATGCTACATTGCCAGACTTAGCAGGACTTAAATCTCAAATTTGCTTTTTTTTGGGTTTCCTATTGTTTAATTTGTTGCTTTTTTTCTCAAGACGGAGTGTTAATTTGGTCAAGGCTACAGGGATACAAACACCTGGCCGACCTGGTGTTCGAGGCGATGTGCAAGGAGTCTTCGCCCCTGCATGACCCAAAGCTCAGTGCCCTGCTGAAGCCCAAGACGGACCCCCAGACCAAGAAGCGCCCCCGCGCCAAAAAGGCTCCTGCGCCGGCCGACGGCGAGGACGACGATGAGCATGGTCCTGGTGGTGACTCCGGTTCAGACGATGCTGGCGGGGAGCCAGAGGTGGCTGGGCGAGGGCGGCAAGGGCGGCAATGGCAATGGCGGCCCGGAAGCGAAGCCGAAGCCGAAGAAAAGGTCACGGAGGCAGACGGGTGGCACTGGCGCTGGCGGTTCTGGCGGTTCTGGCGCTGGCGGCTCTGGCGGCAATGGCATCATGAACCTGATGGACCAGCTGAAGGCGCTGCGCCAGACCTAGGCTGGAATAATCATTCATCGCGGCAATGGGCCGCTTAGGACTTTAGATTTCAGATGTTTGCGTGTTTGGCACAGAGCCTTCTAATCTGCAAGAATCAGACTGTCGAAGAACAGAGTTGACAAGTTACTTGCATGGAACGTGTGTAATTGAAATGCATAATAAGAGATAGTTGGCCATGTGCTAGACTTAGGGTGACCGGTGACGGTGTGCCAGACCTGAATGATCTAGGTTGCAAATCTCCAGGAGGCTGATTGCAAAGTTTGACTCTGCGAAAACCCGCCGAAGACGACGGCGTGTGACATTCTACGATTCGAAGAAAGGCTGCTCTTGGACTGTCAATGTAATTCAATCCGATTCTGTTCGTTTCGAAGCACTGCCTCGTTTGCTTTCAATAGCGCTTGGATGCCCCACAGCCAAAGTTGCTGTGGCCAAGTCATGGGTTTCCAAGACTTGGGCATTAAAAATACTCTGGGCGGTTGGCGTTTGCCCAGGTGATTCTGATCTCTGATGCGCCCGGAGGCCCAAGCCCAAGCTCAGGACTGTGCTTGCCATTGCCATTGAGTCCTGGTCCTGGTTGTAACTTTAACGGCAGTCTAGGTTGAAAGTGGTGTTTGGATGCCCCACAGCACTGGATTGCCCAGGCTGTGGCCAAGTCATGGATTTCCAAGACTTGGACATTCAATTAGAACTCTGAGCGGTTGCCGCCTGCCCAGGTGATCTCTGATGATGCCCGGAGGCCCAAAAGCCAAGACTGTGCTTGCCATTCAGTCTGGTCCTGGTTGTAACTTCAACAGTAGTTGAAAGTGATGTTTGGATGCCCCACAGCCTGGATTGCCCAGGCTGTGGCCAAGTCATAGATTTCCAAGACTTGGGCATTAGAATTGCCGCCTGCCCAGACAGATGATCTCTGATTTGCCTGGAAGCCCAAATGCCCAAGCGCAGAGTCTAACTTTGACAGAAGTCTAGGTGTTTGGATACCCCACTGCCACAGCCTGGGTGCTGTGGCCAAGTCATGGATTTCCAAGACTTGGATAGTAGAATCTTGCAAGCGGTTGCCGCCTGCCCAGGTGATCTCTGCCCGGAGGCTCAATCCCAAGCTCTGTCAGACTGCGCTTGTCAAGACATGACAAAGCTGAAGATTGGGCTCATCATCTGACAAGGGACTTGGCGACACTCGTATTTGCTGTTTCACGTCAGTGCCAGGCCATTCCGTGACGCTGCTGAGGCCAGACTCGCTTATTATCCAACACCTTAGGCTCCTCAGAGGCTGCCTGTGAGAGTCGGAATGACGGTCACAACCGCTGAACATAGTTTATGGCTTGCAAGCTGCACATGAATCAAGTTGCTGCTGTATTAATTGTTCAAGAAAGCCCGCTGCGGTCTGACTGTGTGATTGCCACTTGAATCTGAAGGAAGCTCAGCCCGTGACTCATTGATGGATGACGGGAAGCCAACCGCCACGGTCACTGTCGCCTTTGACAGCGGCAGCGTCGAGTCGCTCGTGCATGAGCAGCTCTCGCGCTTTCACATGGCGATGTGCCTGAAGATGGGGGTCAAGGAGGGCGATCCCCTGTGGGAGCCGCTCCCGGTTGGTTAATTTGGCTTTATTTCACTCTTTTTCTGCTGAAGGCTGTGTGTGTGTGTCACCTTTGCTGCTGCATTTGCTGTTCAGGAACGATCGCAACACAGCTGAGCTTTCAAAGTGTGTGAAGTTTCCCGAGCCTTACCTCGCGCAGCTCGCCTGGCTACAGCATTGTGTCAGCAAATTTAATCAACCCTACTTGACTCGAGCCAAGGATGGATGGTGGACGGAAGCTCTCCATTGATACCATGAACTCCCATCCGATCATGCGGAAGCTTGATCGGATAGCGTGTGGCAATGCTTGTTGTGAACAGTCCGCTGCGTGTTTCTGTTGCAGCCGCCCATTGTTTCCAAGGGACATCGTCATGCGTCTCTGGAATGAACGCGTCAAGCTTGAGTGTGACATCCTCAAGGAGAGGTTCCCTGGCGGCTCTGACGAGTTTTTGATCCAGAAGTTGAATGAGGAGAGCAAGCATTTGTTGATGAATGTGCGTAATTTGCGATGTTTTGCGCTCACAGAGTCTCAGCGGCTAGCAGGACTGTGTGTTGCCGCCGATGGTCGTACCGCTGGAGGGCATCATGTGGCTTGCCTTGCCCAGCTGCAACGGGAATGAGGAGCGCCCGTTGTTCAGCCTGAGCGCCTTGACTGCATTGACCTTCAACTTGGCAGTGCTTCTGTTCTTGTTCAAAGTTGAAACGCCCTTGACATTGAAGCCAGTCATGTCCATGTGCAATTCAAATTCTTGGAGGTGGAGGCAAGCTGATCGTAGTTCTGAGCGGTTTCTTCTTCACAAAGATGTGATAGGCTGAGGGCAGTAGTACTCAGTGGCCGAAAACATCGGACCGTCCTTTGCCCTGCAAGCAAGTGCTCGGCAAACAGCAGCAGATTGAGTTTCCCCGCAGTCAACAATGCTTGCAGGCGTTGGACCCTGGACGAGACCTACTGTGACAGGCGCTTCCGTTATTTTTCACGTTTGTGCGGCTTGCGTGTCAACCTTTGTGCGGTGAGCTTGGCAATTCTCAAAAACACGTGTGTTTTTCTCGATATTTTCGCTAATTCTAGCGAAGTAACGTTTAGGGCTAAAAAATTACTTCGCTAGAATTCTGTTCATAAAACGGGGGTGGGGGGGGTGGGGGGGGTGGGGGGGTTCGGAAGCGTCAACAATGTCACAAACACTTGCATTCATTAAACGGGGGTGGGGGGGTTCGCGTCAACAATGTCACAAACACTTGCATTCATAAAACGGGGCGCTTACTAAACTGGGGGGTTGGACGCCAACAATGTCACAAACACTTGCATTGAGCCCTGACGGATCCTGCCAGTGGGCCATTTCAGGGGATTTCATAACTACAGGACAGTTGCATCCAACTGAATATGAACTTGATGGGCGCAATATGAACCTGGTCGGCTCAGGTGTCCAAACGGCTCCGTCGTGACAGAGGCACGGGGTCCAATTTCCCAGGCCTACAGGCCGTGGAATTCATCTACCTACACAGCTTTGATGGACTTGTTAAACTGTCCTGCTCCCAAACCGACCCAAACCTGCACACGGAACTGGCTCGCCTGCTTCGGCTCACTCGGCAGGTTCACCGCTGGCCTGACCGGCCGCTGCTGGGCGCATGAAGGCGGGGTGACAAGGGGATATTTATGGACTGGATTCTGATTCTTCGTTCCCATCTTACTGCCATGAACGCGCGAAACAAACACTGCTGGGTTTGGAAAAGCAACAACGGCATTAATAAGCCGACAAACTAAGGAGCGACCTGCGACGACAAAGGCCACAAACAAACTTAAACAAACAAGCAAAAGTACAAACAAAGAACCAATCGAACGAACAAACCAACAAACAAACAGGGACTGAGGGCATGCAATCCTGACTTATCATTCAGTGAACGTTGCTACACTTCGTCTTCATGTGGATACTAGGAATGAATCTGAAATCATGTCACAGACATGTTATTTCTTTCAGGCTTTGCTGTGTGGAAAAACATTGCCGGCACAGTCGCACGCCAGCTTGACTCCCCTTCCGCTAGACATCTTTGAACAAACAATGCTGTCGAGTCGGGAGTCGGACAGTGCTTTTTCACACAACCCCACTGAACAATTCGCAGTGAACCGACATGGCATGGCCCGGCGCCGCTTGCCATAACCTTAAACACTGACTCACCCTGGGGCTGCATGGGTTTATGGTTTCTTCTGCGTTCATTAGTTTTGGCTCGATTTGAAAGGGTGACTTTTAGCGCCATCATCGTGCTGATGGCTGACGGCCAGCCATCCACCAATGCCGCTGGGAAGAGGGGGAAAGTCATTTTGCTTACCAAGCAGAGCCTCGAGTACAAGGTGTACAAGTTGGTTCTCAACGCTGGCAGTGGCACCGGGGACAGCGGCCCAAGCACACCGCGGGCAGACTCGGGCTCAAAGAGGTTCTTCGAAAAACACATGTATGAGTGGAAGCAAGCCATCCGCAAGGCCAACTCCGACAACCTCATCATTGACAACAATGTGCACGAGCAAGGTCACAATGCCCAATTCAATGTGGCCGAGCCGAGCCAGAGCCAACAGGCAATGTAGTCTTACTTTAATTTAGCCAGACAAGGTTTGGCCCAATGTTTCGGATGTGTGATTTCATACATCTCTCGCAAGCCAGCCAGCCTTTCTTTAATTTAGCCAGACAACGTTTGCGCCACACGAGTTTTGGATGTGTAATTTCATTCATTTGTCAACAGAAAGTGTGTTCAGAAAGTTCCCTACTTCTGCATTTTAAATTCAATGCAAGACAGGTCGAAGCTGCTGGATGAGGGAAAACGGAAAGGGCCGCCTGGTTGTTGACGCAAGGGTTTGTGTGCCTTGCGACTTTCAAAAAGCCATGCCTGCTTTTGAAGCAGCTGGCTGGCAGGATGGACGAGTAGCCCGAGCACCTTGCCATTGCGTGCACCGTGCGCTGCGCCTTGACGATAGGGTTCGGGGGCGTCAGAAAGAAAGGAAATAGTCTTTGTTGTTGTGATAAGCTGGATACTTTTCTCGGGTTCAACATGCAATTTTCTGCCGAGTTAGCATGGCTTTGGTGGATGGAACCTATGCAGTGAATCTATTGCATGGTGAAACATCCCATGCTCAATCTGTCAATGGCCATGGATGTTGTCCAGGGACTTCTTGCAAAATGGATAACTGGGCCAGCCCAGCAACGGAAAATCGATGAGGAAAGCGTGCAATTACCGTGAAATGAGCGTGAACTATTATTATTATTATTATTATGGCAGTGTTGTTTGCTGCTGGGATACGGAATGGATACAGGAAGACCACGATTAGAATTATTCCATTGGCACAGACATGCGCTGATTTTGGATTAAAGCCTTTTCAGGTCTCACTGAGCACACATCCTCCAGCCAGTCAAAAAACGGATGTTCTTGTTTAATA